GATGACGAGTTTCTGGCAAGTCAATTCAATGGCAAGTTTCCATTTGAAAAAGTAAATTTGATTTTTTTTTCCCCCTTCACAAAATTTCATCTTATTCTATAACAAAAATTAAATTCTTTAAAGAAATGTTTTTGTATTTTTACAAGTCAATTCAATGGCAAGTTTCCATTTGAAAAAGTAAATTTGATTTTTTTTTCCCCCTTCACAAAATTTCATCTTATTCTAACACAAAAATTAAATTCTTTAAAAAAGCAAAACTCTAACAGTATTTTTTTATTACATTTTTATATTCAATGCTTAAAATGAGATACAAATGCAGGATTGTTTACTCTCATCCAACTGGAATACATGCATAAATAAACCCATACAGTGCTTAAGTTTAGTAATATATTTTAGTTGGTATTAACAAATTCATGCACATTACTTATCATTAAAAAATTTTCCAGATACTTTCATTATCATAGATAATTTGTATTCTATCAGAGAAGACTGGACAAATTAAAAATTGGTCAAATATCAATTCAAAATTGCACGTGGTTTAGTGTTTATTCATATTGAATTTTTATTATTATATTAATCTCGATATTAAATAAGTTTAGTAAACATGTTTTAATCGAAAATATTTGAGTCAACTGGAATTTTGATTGCTACATACCTCAAATATTTAGTTTAAGATTAAAAATTACTAATTATGCTCCCTCTTTTGTTTAATAGTGAAAATTAATTGAAGTTAAATGAAATTAAGAAAATGTTTTAAGATTCACAAAAATATAATGCCAAAAGTTAACTTCCAGAATAGTATTATTGCCGCTGAAAAGTAATGAGACGATTTTAAGGCATAAGAGAAACGAGCTGGCATTGGCATTTTACTTTAAAATACACAGGTGCTTTATACAAAAGCTCTACGTATTTAATAATAAAAGTACTTCTTGATTTCTATAAATAAAACCCAGAATTTTATAGAATTTGATCATAAAACAAGTCATTTTCACACAATACATAATTTCAATTAATATTAAACATGTTTTAAGTTATTTCCATTCATATATATCAAAAACAGTAGCCTTCTGTACTGAACAACTTGTGATTAATGCAGAAATTCTGTCTTGAAAATAATGTATATAATTATATATAAAAAATATGTGAAACTTTTTAACTGAAAGCATAAAAGATTATCTTTTGTTTACAATTTTAAATATTAATAGTGTGTCAATAGAAATAAGAAAAAAAAAAGTGACTCATTTTCAAATGAAACTAGAAAAATCATCAAAACGCATTCTTTTTTGACGGTTTGCGAATATGCTTCCATCTATTAGCAGTCAACGGAGACGAACATTTGCCGCGGCATTCCATATAACCATTAACCACATATATTTTTTTTTATTGTCAACAAATTGATCTTGAATGTTTTCAGTTAGGGATTATTCAATTTACCCACTTAATGGAAACAAATGGAGCATCTAGCCCACCTGTAGAGCGACTCATTCGCTTCTCCCAACCTTTAGGTAATTCTTCGTCTGCCATTTTCTTAGATGAAGATACCATCCAGATACCGATTTAACAACGCCACCTACTCAAAAAAACTAAAATTAAATGCAATAAAATAATCATTAATTGTATTATAGTAAATCTTAGCGAAGTGTGCGAATCTTGGAATATTTTTACTATTCTATTCTAATTAAAAATGAAAAATAGGAAAGACATACTGAATTTTCAATCAATATGCGTTTATTTATCCATGACAAACTGTTAGCTTTTCTGTATGGATTCATCTAATAAATTGAAAAATCATTTCATTCGAAGTAATACAGTATTTAATATTGAATATCCTACAATAGTGGCCGGATGGCAGCCTACCTCTCTGGGGGATCCGGGATCGATTCCGGACGGGTCAAAAACTCCCCAGGAATTTTTGCTAGAGGTAGTCTTTCCGGATATGTCGGACCCCGTTTCTCGCCGCCCATTATGGATTTGGTCAAACCATAATAAGATTACTATAAGAAGCACTCGTAGTGCACACAGGGCGGAAAGAGTTAATTAAAGAAAAAGAAAATCCTACAAATTCATTTTTCAATATTCGCAATATCTATATACAGTACTGTATATTACTCTAGAAGTAGTAATACGCTCATTTCTTTAATATCTGAATTGTAAAGTATTAAGACGATTTAGGTTAAATTTACTTCTTTCGAATATGGTTTTTCATATAAAATTAATAACACATTTAAAAACAAGTTCTCACCATTTCATCATGTAACCCAACCTAATGGATTTTCAACAGGTTTGGATTCAAACCGGTGGGATCGGTCATACTCTTTAATAATGGTACTCAGTGCCGGCCCGAGGCAAGTTTTAGGATGGAGCGAGATCCTATTATGGCGCCCCCTTGGTTGCCCCTAATTTATACCTTTTAATTTTCTTTACCACTGAGGCGCCCCCTAGGACTTAGCGCCTGGAGCAGCTGCTCCGTTCGCCCTATGGTAGGGCCGGCTCTGATGGTACTTATACACGGTAAAATTCTCAAATTGTAAAAAAAAAAAAAATCAAAAATTAATTATTAAAATTTACTTTCCTCTTGATTTAACGCGTAACAAAGAAACTCAACAATTGATAATTTATTGTTTTGCTCTTTCATTGTCAAGAGTGCGCTTTGGAAAATGATTCGAAAATGCTTTTTGGTTCTGGATATCGATCTTTGCCTCGACCTTTCGGGTAAGAGATTCTTTTACATTTTATTCCTCTTTATTCAAATAAAGAATTCAATCGAGAAAATGAAGCCTTTAAGAAATAAAATTTGATACGGTAGCTTGTGTGTAAGAGGTATTAATGCTATGAAAATTTGGTGGTTTTGAGTCGCTATTAATTTAAAGAAGCGAGCAAAAGCTTCCTTGGTAGCGACTCAAATTGACAAATCTTGTGAAGTAACGACTCGAACGAAATTTTGCTAATAAAATGGCGTGTTGTGACAGAGGCCAAATTTTAAAGTTCTTAGAACGGGAGATTTCAGAGGTCAAAGATTATCGTCTACCGGTTAAATTCCAGATACAGTCATGGCGGCATTTCCTGTTTTGCTGCTAGCCTCGCTCCCGGTGCCGTGGCTGTTTGGAGACGAGTGTTGTCACGTGACAACACTCGTCTCCAAACAGCCACGGCACCGGGAGCGAGGCTAGCAGCAAAACAGGAAATGCCGCCACGTGAGACGAGTGTTGTCACTGGAGACGAGTGTTGTCACGTGACAACACTCGTCTCCAGTGTTACCACCCGGACAGTCTGAGAATCGACTGTACGATTTATTCGTATACATATAAACCTCCAATATCCAATAGAGCTAGGTCACTTACGTTACTCCTACCCAAGTCTTCCTACTAGCTAACTGTAGCTGATTTAGAACCGGCATGCACTGCACACTATTCTTCACTTCACTAGCACGGAATTTTTCATTACTTATTCTGTGACGAAACTGAATTTTAATCAAAATTTTCATTCACAGAATTCATTACTTATTCTGTGACGAAACTGAATTTTAAATTGAGATACCTAAATAAGGGAGAGCGAAAATTTCCTCCGATCCGGGCGGCTGACACCCACGCTACGCCACTGATTTATTACAGTTAGATATGATTTAAAAGTGGAAAAGTGTATTTCCTTTTTTATAAAAAGATCATTTTTAAACTTATTATTTTATATATTCGAAAAAATGATATAGAATTATCAATGACAACGAATTTAAAACTAGTTCACTGCATTATATTGCAGTGCCTCTAGCCAGCAGCAGAATTTATGGCCAAGCTTGGGCAAGATGGTAGTGTCAAGATGGGTTACCCCATCTTGCTCCAACGTGCACTTTTCATACTGACTGTAAACACGGGTCAACTTTATTTCAAAACTAAACAATTACAGTCTTAAAGGTTACTTCGAATACCGTAATATCTTCATCTAAAAGGTAATGTAAAAGTTCACGATGATACTTTGTAGAAACTGTGTAGCGGGCGTAAAATTAGATGAAGTATTGCCGAAATTTGGAAAAATGTCTTATTTCCGAACAAAGAGAGCGATTCGGACGTTTTCTCGTCCCGTGATCTCTTTTGAGGTTGACATTTAGTTCCCCAAATAACAGCTAGATGAAAGCGCGTTAACCACGAATAAACAGATGTCCCCGTCTTACCCCATGGACCCATCTGGCACCACCTTCCCCTAAACAGTACTATAATTCACCTATTAAAACGATCGCGCGAAATCTGGTACAAAGGCCGAATCTTATTCAGAACCTTTTTATGCGTAGGATTGATATGATTTTCAATGATGTTAAGACTTTCAAAAGTATTTTGCATGGGTTCATCCTTCTCCAGGAGGCTTTTCCTCCGAAATTTGAAGTGATCCAGGTTGTTAGGATTGTATATCCCTCACATCTCTTCATATCTATTCAATCTCGCCCTGAATATGAAAAGAGAAAATTCATAACACAATAAATACCAAATTTGAAAACATTTTTTTCTAATTTCAAACTCGATTATACAAAAATTCACAAGTAAATATTTTTATAAAGTGATTAATACTTTAAAGATTATGATTAATACTTTAAAGAATCTTTTCGTTTAATCTCTCAGAAAATTTATCAAACTACAAGCTAAATGAAGTATTGCTTAGGTCCTGGTGCTTTTACATATTTGAGAGAAGTGAAGAGCTTTTTATAAATAACAGGTTAAGTCCTGAATAAGGCTAAATTCTCTCCTGTTATTTTAAAGGAATTTATAAAAACTGTTAATTTACATTAAATTAAATTCATATTAATAGATTAAACTATCAATAAATTTTGTGATATGAACAACCCTTGTGTACCTGTGCTAGGTACAGTACCAAGAGGCCCTAAAACTGCATCTTATCGAGCTTGCGTTTTAATGCATTCGTTATCACTTCTTGACGCTCAAGTGATTATAAATACAACAAAACACAAAAATGCTTAATTCTAAACCGATTAAAAACTACTCCAGAACTATTTCAGAGTGAAAACCTTTAAATATTTGCATCGAGATATTTCTGTTTAATCATTACCTCATACTGAGAAATTAACTCTTAGATATCCTATTGTCTTCTTGTTATATAGTTTGTGGATAATAGGCATTCATTCCATTAAAATTTGGTGGTTTTGAGCTGCTACCAAAGAAGCGAAGAAAAGCTTGCTTGGTAGCGACTCAAATTGACAAATCTTGTGAAGTAACGACTCGAACGAAATTTTGCTAATAAAATAGCGTGTTGTGACAGAGTACCAACGATTAGCTCAACAGTGAGAAACGACGTTTCTAAATGGACTGTTGAGTTGTCCGTTGAAGCCCGTGACGTCATTGTTGGTTCACCGTTGAGCTGAACGGTCTCAACATGAAAGACGATTGAATTTTCAACAAACTAACATTGCGGCTTCCACGAACAAGTAAATTTCGCTTATAGAAACTATCGATTCACTCTTGCTGTGGACGCAGTAACAGCGAACGAATTAACGATCTGTATATGATAAAACATTGATTGAATGATAATGTTGGATAATTTGGTCAATATTGAAATATTAAGCTTTTTTTCAGAAACAAACTACCTCCGTGAATTTGTCCAAAGTTGATAAGGACCGATATTAGGCCTTCTTCGTCTTCCTAATGATATAAATTCTCAAGAAATTCAAATTATTGAAGAAAGACCCAGTATAAAAGAAATTTATACAGATAAGGGTTAATTCAAATAAACCCTGGCCCACCAGTGGCCAAGCGGTCTTCGTACCTTGAATACTGGGAGTTCGGTCGTCGGTTCGCGCTGCGCTCGGACGGGCTGGCCACGTGGTTTTCTCCACATGTGTACAGTGGCTAGAAAATATAGTGTCGAAAGCAGTGTTGCCAGATCTGAAGGTTAAAAAGTAGCGTGGTTGTGCTCCAAAAGTAGCGGATTTGAACTGTTTGTAGCCCAAACAATAAAAATGAATTATTTTGCAACTATGCACTTTTACTAATGAAATAAGTTTGTAATATATGTATATACATACACAGGGTATATCAGAATGACGTTTTAAAAATTTGGGGATTGTAGAGGATGAAATTTTGAACGTTTTGATATAAGGAACCTACAGCCGGAAATGAGATACGTATAAAGTTTCTACTGCACTTTGCACGTTCTATGA